CTGAATTCAGTCTAAGAAAGACACGAGGCACAATCATTACAGATAGCCCTAAGTCAGTACTGATTTCATGGTGATTCCATCGATTGACAAACTCTTGTAAGGAATGATTAATGACTGTGACAAAACTACGCTGTAGTGCAAGAAGATAAACCTCATTGGCAGGATCAAGAAGACCTGAACGTTCCATCATGTTAAATTGATCAATATAAGCCTTTAGCACACCAGTAGTAACATCTCTGTGAAGATTTTTAACTCGTTGGTTGTGAACTGAAGCACCTGTGATGATACTTCCCCTGTTTGCTCCACGGCACTCCAACATCATTCGAACAACACCCACGTTTTCAAGTCCATGATCACACCTTACTCTTGAAGGTAATCCATATGAACGACATGCAATTTGGAATAATTCTAAAATTGTGTTTTCTTTGTTGTTGGTAGCACAGCTTAAATATGGTATCAACCTGGAATAGCCATCAATGGATGTATGAACCACCATTTGGCAGCGAATCATTTTATGGTTCCCGTCGATGTGCCACAGAGCATTTGCACAACCCACATTGTATTTTTTCTGCGAAATGCTCCCCGACGACGAAGTGCTGTTCCAACTGAATCCAATTCACGCATTAATGTCATCACACGTGACCTTTGGACCCTTATATCTCGGCTCCTCATTGCATCTAACATACGTGTTTGTCCTATTCCTGGAGTAACACTTATAATCTCTTGCATTGTTTCTCTAAGCTCAACGTCACTTATGGTACATCAAGATTCCTCCACATCAATTTGAAACTCTACACGTCTTCATTGTAATGGTTTTGTTGAGATATTCAATAATTCAGCAATTCTAGTCCAAGAAAAGTGCAATTCCCTAAGACATTCTTCTAACCTCTTAGACATTTCGAGTTGCGGTTGACCTCTTGTGCCTGTGTACTTTTTATGGCAATTGTAGATTGGAATATAAGGTATCCGATCCTGAAGGTCATTGATAAGTTTCTGAAAGAAACTCTGAAGTCGTTTTAAATAGGAATATAACTGGTGCATATCATCATAAAAAGTCGCCATATCAAAATCATCCAAAAGATTTAATGCTCCCTGTTTTAACGTAAAATTAGTGTATCTAGCATTTGAAAGTCGCTCGTATATGCGCTCTAAGCCGTCGATATTGTCAAAAAATAGCTGTTCTGAAATGATAAAATCCTGTGCTTCAGCAACAATTGTTTTAGTTCTCTGAAGGAATGAATAAACACTGTGTTCTGAGCCTCCAATGCCTCCTAAACCAGCCATTTTGAATTTGAGAAGAAAGTGCGTAAACCTGTAAACGAGGTCGGATCGCAAAGTATTAAGCAGCACGATGTAAAAAGCTTCCCATACCGTATATGAAAATTTCTCACAGAAGATATAAAACATACGACGATTGTCGTGTTGTAAAAAGGATTGGAACGCTGTATGAAACTTCGGAATAGGCTTTAAATTTGACGATACGATACGATAAGTTTCGAACGTATATGAAAAGCTTAGAATGTCCTACAGCAAGTTTCGGTCATATTTTTTAGATTTATCTCAAAGTATATAAAGTTTGCCATGAAAACAACCATCGTGACTATGCTTACCAGAGCCGAATCTATGAAAGATGAAAGAGTTTGGTATAAAAACACAAAGGTCTGAACTTTCCAAATAAAAACAAGAAAGCAAGGCCAACAAAAGTTTTAGTATATGGTATTTGTTGACCAGAAACGAAGCTTCTTTCCTTTTCCTCCTTCATGTTTTTGTCAGTAAAATATAACTCATTTAAAATTGTTTTTTTGTTCCTTTTTTTCGATTCTTGCAAAGATTCGATAGCCGGAAAAACAAAGAAAAAAGTTGCATTAAAGAATGAGTATCAGGCTTATACTTTGAGCGCTTAACATTTATGTTTTCATACGGGAATTTTCCAGCACTTTCCTAACATAAGCAATCTAATGTATATTCCGTACAGGTTTTGTTTCGTTTATTGACTTATGTGATCATATTTAATTATAGGTAGCATAATGATAATGCATAACGTCAAAAACAACCTTTGTGGCTATAGTAAAGCGAGTCAGGAATAAAGTAAATGGTTTGAACCCGGGAGTATCGTTATATGTTTGTAAATGATGATCGTCCAGGTTAATAAAGTCCTGAGAAGGACTGTTTTGAGTTGAGACTTGTTCGACAACCTTAGCGATCATCTTCAGAGTCAAAACTTTCCATTTTGACTCTGAAGATGACTTCCACATGTCAAACGTCAATCAACAACATCAAAACAGTCCTTCTCGAGACTTTTGGACGATCATCATTTACAAACATATGAGATACAGTTCAAACCATTTACTATTACGATCATTGGACGACAGAGCGAACAACTTGCTGACGACTACATACGTTTTGCAGAAGCAACGTCAGACGCGCCAACAACTCTGGTTCAACCACCGCTGCAAGGATTTTGGTCTCGTTCCGGCAGGACTTAGAATTAAGTCTCCGTTGACACACAAAGGCTATTCAGATTATCAAATCCACCAGCAGACGACTGATACGAGCACGGATTAACGACTGTCACAGACGAATCAACTATTACATCAAAAACAACAAAAAGACTGAACAAACTGAAGGAACTCATACCAACGACAGTAAGTGATACTTTACTTTCTACCATACAAACTATTGCAGAGAAACGAGCAAACAAGAATAGAGACACAACACCAAATCAAACAACAACAAAACTTGAACGTTTAAAACAAACTAAAACACGTGCAAGACATAAACATGACGATAACTGGGTGAGGAATATTTCTTCCCGCCCATTTGAAGAAACTGAAACGCGACTACATCTTACGGACTAAAACATTCCATAACACCTAGACAAATCCCGACTGAGACGATAGTATCAAGTGTCGAGGTGTCTAGCGTATCAAAAGAGACTTGTCAGGGCAACAAAAGATGAGATCAGAAGCAGGATAGCCTCCACTTTACAATCGTCCTCTATACGTGACAACAACTTGACAAAAGACGAACAACAAGCACTCATTTTGACTCTGAAGATGACTACCGCTAAGGTTGTCGAAACGTCAGTCAACAACATCAAAAACAGTCCTTCTCAGAGTCAGGAATAGTGATCAGACGTATAACAACACTTTTGTTGGTAAAAGGCTGCTGAGTAATGCTGGTTAAAGGCCTGCGAAAGCATGTAAGAGAACTATGTATTCTCAACTTGCTATACTAAAGCCGGTTACAGACGACTGAGACGAGCAAGTTTTTCGGTGGCAACTTTTGCTTCGCCAGTTTTTTATTGAGATTATTGCGTCTGTATTAATACAATGATTTCCTTTCCAATTTTTTTTTATTATTACAATGATTTGCCTCTCATGTGAGCATGTCGACAAATATAACTTAAAATTGTCTTAACAGTAGCTAGGGCGACAAGTTGGTACAGCGTAACTTGCGCAAAAATGCGCCTTTTTTGAAATATCGATTGTCAAAGAAATACACATTGCGTGAGTTTGTTTGTTTAGAGAAGAAAGAATGTTTTCTTGATGAATTGCTATGACAATGCTAATGCAGCATGAAACTAAGAAAAGGCATAACAATTAAAGGTGGTGGACCAGACACTTGGCAGCCGAGCGTCGTAGATTGTCCCAATGGTTTGCCAGCAACTTAATGCAAGGTATTCAAAAAACGGATTATAGATTAGTTCCCAACTTTTTTCGTTTTTTTGTGATTGTCATCGCATTATGCTGAGTGTATTGTGATTATTTGTCTGCACACTTATAACCGTCTCATTTCGGTATTGTTTTAGAATGGATTTAACATTGTTTGATGAGCTGTTGAAAATAGAAACGCCTAAAATAACTAAGAATAAAAATATGTAAGATGCCATTTGTGCTCATGATAATTTGTCTGTCACTCTACCCTTGTTGGCATCCGAAGAATAATTAAGCCTAGCTTAGATATTCATTTAGCATTTCTGTCTTAATCATTTCAGTATTATTTCTTGAAGTGAAACAAAGAAACATGCAAACTGATGGAACGTGCCGTTTCTGCGGGAAATATCATTAAAATGTACATATGCTCGTAGGTAATGATGGTTAATTCAAGCTTAACCGTAAGTATTTACACAAGCTCACTAAGATAAGCTAAGCCTCGAGGTAGCTAAATGATATAATGTGGCATATTTCAACATACAAGCTATACTTTGTAAAATTTGCCTACTTGCTTAAGTTAAAAATCTTTGTTTATTTTAAACAATATATCATTGTCTACAAAAAACATCATGATTGGGTTTACAAATATTCTGCTAATTTCGCTTTTTTAGAAGCTTAAGTGTTCGGATGAGTCCAACGTGAGATTGCCAGGTTTTTAGTTACTAAAGACTTTCTTTATCCGGAATCCCAATGTTACTTTGCAATATGGGTTTTCCTGTCATGCTTATTACCCCTAATACATGAGGAAATAGCCAATATGTAAATATTTTTCGCAGTATTAAGTAAAATTCAGCACAATCAAATTCTCCAATTTTGCAAGCAAATGTTAAGCGTTGATTTGAAACATTTTGTTTTCATGTGCACTTACATAATTACTTTTTTAATTCAATAATCAATTAGGAACACTTTAAAGATAAGTTTGCTTCTAGAAGTTGATTTTAGTTGCACTGGTATTTCTAAAACTTTGGACAGAATTGAGAAAATTGCATATTTATATTATTGGCACTCAAAACGCGTTAACAAAAATACAACTTGCATTTATCTAAAAATGAGGACGTGATCAAGATATTTTCTAAACGAGCACATCGAATCAAATGCCTAGCACATAGATTTATAATTATTTCAATGCAAGAATATGCTAATTATTAAAACTATATGCAGCATAAACTACACGAGAGCAAAAGAAAGTTAGCCATGTTAATCCTTTTTTTGTTGAAAGTTTTTCCTGAATTCACAGCAAATACAATGGCAGCAGGTCAAAATATTTACCCTTTCGTTACTTACTAATTCTCTTCCTACTTCGCTCGAATATCTCTGAACATCTGAGCTACACGACATTGTTCCTAACTTTGTTGCTTCTAAAAAAAAGAAGAAACATTGAAAGGTAGATAATTTTTGCAAACGTTTAACATATAATTCATTTTGACGTGCAAAGTAATAAAATGCTACTTAAAATCTAATTAAACAGCACAACAGCACAGGTACACAACAGCACAGGTAAAATTACATATACAATTGACAATTAAGCATATTTTTTTTGACGACTTAAAACAATTACTAACTCCTGAAATTTTAACTTAGAAAAACTTTTCTATGAACGTCTAGAAACACTGTAATATTCTCATGCAAAAAAATCCAACGTCGTACAAAGCAGACTTTCTCATTCCCAGCGTCAGTGTTTACAGTGTACATCATTGGAATACAGCGACTCTTAATTGGAATTAACGTTTAGCAAATAAACAAGAAATACAAATATCTTTATGCTCAATGACCCGTGCACTGTTTTGCACATCCTTTTGACAAAAGAGAAGTCAAAATTTGTGGCTACTTATGAATAACAAATGAATGACACATTATCAAAATTAATGAACAGTTTACCAAAAACAAATTTCATTTGCATACGTCGTTGTTCCTTAGTAGTTTAATTTAGTTTAGTTTTAGTTATATCTTTAGAGAGATTAAAAATATGTTTGCTCCTAAATAAATGTTGAAGTGCATTACATTATTCTCAATTTGCATCAAACTTTAAGAAACAAATCTTTTTTATGTATCTTAGGATAGCTCTACAAACGGATTATATATAGGAGAGCTTAACTAGGTAAATGCTCAGAATGGTTAAATGGCCTAAAATAATATCATGATTTCAAATGAATTCCAATTTAACCAGAAACAGCTTTAACTATTTCTATAAAGATTCTTAAATTTGGTTTTTTTTCTGATCAGATTTAGCCAAACAAAAGACAAGAAGAATTCATGATTTGTAAACAAAAAGACTAAAAAATTATGTCTGAAATTTCAAAAACATCAAAGGTTACACTTAGAAACGCTTATATATACTAAAACATACAAAAATAAAAAATAACATACCAATACTCTTTGAAGATTCAGTGACAACAACATGATCGGAAGCAAATGATTTTTTTTTAATTGCCTGAGCGTTTTCATCAAATAATCGATTTGGACCCGTCACAACTCTTAGCTCACCAGTCTTACGGTCAATCTCAAGCTAAAAAAATTGAAAAAAGTATGAACCAAAAGATGAATGAGAAGGATCTCCCTTAGGTTGTCGATCAATGCCCTACGAGATTTACTATCGTGTTAGTTGGTATTTATAAAATGAATTCTTCAGTTCATTGCAATCAGCACATTGTGTACATTAACATTTTTTTTAAAAAATGAAATCTTCATCTCTTTATTGTTCATTGCAGTCTTAAACAGCAACTTCAATACGAAATGATACTCAACGGACAAAAAACATGGCTAGCTTTTAACGAGATGAAAATGCAAGGTAAGCTTTTATTATTGAATTTAAACAAATTTTACAACAAAAAATATCCGTAAAAATATAACAAATTTTTGTGTGTCTTAACTGGTAGTCTGGTATACTTCCTACTTTTTTCTTATAAAGTTCGCTGAAAAGTCGAGTAGAGAAAACTTAAGAAAACTCTCACAGAAATATTGTTGTTCTTAAACACTAATCCTGGCAATCTTTCTATAAGAAAACGTTTTAATGCACAATTAAAATGTCAAAACAACTTCAGCCGTAGTTTGTTCAGAAATTTTAAAAAATCTATCTGGTCAATAAATCAATTTAAAGAATATTATAAAACAGAGATTTATCAAATAAATCTGTTTTAATATGAGATGCTCATCATTTTCTTTGTTTAACAAATAGATAACATCTAACCGTTGTCTATAATGTTATAAATACAAGGATATGACGTCATTTGTGATAAAACTATGAAGATTGCAACGAGTCACTAGGCTTACTTTTTACCAAAAAAAGTCTAACCAAAGTATCGATAACAGTATAGAAGACGGTTAACTGTCATCTATTTGCTTTATAAGATAAAATAAAAAAATTCCTAAAGTAAATGGTTAAACAGTTTCTTTCTTTGTCCCGCAACACTTGGAACACTGAAAAGTGTTCAGTTTGCAAATATCACGCTTACGTGATCTATACCATTGAAGAAATGCTATTTGCTAGCTTATTCATGCGATAAAATGTGATTGGCTAACAAAATAAACCAGCAATGCTGATCAATTTTGTTGAAATTTAGTTATCGAGTACACATCAACGTTTAAAAACCGTGTGTTTCTTTTCTTTTTGCTCAAAATACGTCCACTGCTTTGAGTAAGCATTTTTGATTTCTTTATTTGCCTATTCAGGGATAAATTCAAGTAAATATTTAAATAATATCGTCGTTCGTTTGTCATTTATAAGCAAGCAACTTTCTGTGACGTTATTTTGTGAGTCGTTTCACTTAGAGATCATATCTCTCAACCAATGAAATTGTTTAAATTCTTCTGGTTATTATATAAAACTTCTTAGAACAATGTGATCACAATTTGGAGTAAATATGCGTCGTATAGTGTATTAAGAGCAATTACAGCCAATACTTACAGCTTATAGTACATTTAGCGTGTTATGTAGGTTTAGTGCTATGTAGATTGTAAAATCAGGATATTTTACTAAATAAAATTTAATTGACATAAAGAAAGAGAATGAATATACGAAAGTGGCGACGAAAAAAGAACAAAATGACATGGATACATCAACAAGAAACGCTTAAACGACAGAGCAAAGAATCAGCCACAAAGGTCAACAACTACAACAATCATTAAGTTATGTGAACATGGGACTTACTTGAAGCGGTCTACCGCCGTTTGCACCTTTCGATCATCATAAAGATCAATGAACAGTTGACAACGATGGTGTAAATACAATACACTACACTTAAATTTCAAATCAATGATCTCCCCGGTCACCAACACTGCAAATACGTCTTGGTATCATTGACAAATAGAAAATATAGTGCCAAAATAGTTCTCAGCCCCCTGGTGTTTTACAACAAATGAGTCACGAGAGACGTAATGAATGTTTAAAATACGCTTTAGCCAAGAAAAAATCAATATAATAACCAGATGATGTGAGATTAGTGCGATTAATCACGGCCTCCGCAAACAAAAATGCTCTTTAAATTATAACTTTCGATAAAACCGAACTGCGACTCGGACTTTGTAAAAAGATGAAAAACGTAATTACTCATCATTTTGGTTACCTTAGTGTTCAAAATATAATAAATTGCTCAATGGAGTTAACTATCTAAAGAATTGCGAAGTAAAGTTTGAAGTGTATCGTAATGTTACTCCAGTTGCACACGCGCACGTCATATACCTCACAGTATGAAATTAATTGGAAAAGCAGGGAATCTTTGAAAAGTATGAAAGAAGCAACTACGTGGCTATCATTCTTATAGTCGTTATCCGGAAGAAATCTGGAAATGCTCGTCTTGTTGTAGATATGAGAAAAGCAAAGAATATCTTTAAACGAAGAGCAATCCAATTACCAACTGTTGATAAAAATGTGCAAAAGATGCAAGGTGCTATTACCGAGTTGGGTCTATAACTAGGATAACTTCAACTTCCTTTAGCACCAGAATCACGATTCATTACCGCTTTTTCAACACCTGAAGAAAGTCCCCATCAATATATGCAACTTTCATGGGTTCTTGTTCTTCTGAGGAATAATTCCATGAAGATATTCATGAGCTTATAAGAGATATTCCCAAACTGCATGCGAAATAATTTCTGACAACATGTAGCTTTGGTCGAAAGATATGTCTACTCATCTTTGCCTTCTTAAAAGCTCCTGCAAGCTTGCAGTCTAATAGTTTAACACTGAAATTTCCACTTGCACTTTTGCAAAACAAGAAAATACTGTGTTTTCGGTCATATTGCGTCTGACAAATAACTCGACCCCTTCAAAATATCTTGAAGCAATCAGCAAAGCAATGCATCCTAAAAGAAGTTTCGAATTTTGTTCCTTTCTAAGTTTAACAAATTATTATTGACGATATACTCCAAATTTTAGTAATCTTACACAACTGTTAAGAGCATTAACCAAAAACAACGTTTCTTTTAAGTGGACTGAACAACAAGAATCATCTTTTATTAAAGTTAAGGGAGCAACCAGCACAGCCCCAGTATCAGCTAATAACAACCTACACGCTCCAACAAGTCAAATTGTTGATGCCTCGCACTTGGGAACTTGGTGCTGCAGCATATTCATTATCGAAGATGGGTAGATATGAAAGTTGTTCACACCATAATATCACATAGAATTCTAACTTGAATGGCTAGATTCAGTATTTTAATTCATGGTTATCTTATGGCATTAAACACCGATATTGCTAAGTAATTCACATCTAAACAGTTAAAAATTAAACTCCAGATGCGGGGAATTATTCGGCACACAGTAAAAGAATATTGGCTGCAGACAAATGGACTGGTATGTAGAGATTATTTGTACTTCCTTAGCTGGAGGGAGAATTGGTAAGACATTATTTTTACGTTGCTAATGAATTATCTCACCCACCACATAGAACAACAGGAAAGAAGAAAATTCTACTTTAATGAAAAGAGGGCTGCGAACAAAATTACGATTAATTAGCATATTTCAAAGAACCGCAAAATAAGTCAAAAGGACAGATAAGACTCCAAGGAAAAGTGCAAAGCATTAGAAGATACTTAAGAAGAGCAACACCGAATGAATTAAACAACCAACTCAAGACCAACTGAAGATTATCACGACCAGATCAAAAATTATGAACATCAAGAGTTTACAGTTAAATGAGATATGATCTTCGCACTTAGCTGGACAATTTAAGCAATCGTCTCAGGACCTGATAAAATCAGGTGACTCAACGGGATTCGAACGCATGACCTCTGCGGTGCCGGTGCAGTGCTCTGACCACTGAGCTATGAAGTCACACAGTGGTGAGCAGGTCAATATTGTTGGGCTGATGTTTTCTCGTGAAATGAATGTCATATGAATGTTTTATAGTGCGTGTTTGAAATTAAATGAGATATGATCTTCGCACTTAGCTGGACAATTTAAGCAATCGTCTCAGGACCTGAAAAATCAGGTGACTCAGGATTCGACCCATGACCTCTGCGGTGCCGGTGCAGTGCTCTGACCACTGAGCTATGAAGTCACACAGTGGTGAGCAGTCAATATTGTTGGGCTGATGTTTTCTCGTGAAATGAATGTCATATGAATGTTTTATGCAGTGCGGTGTTTGAAATTAAATGAGATATGTCTTCGCACTTAGCTGGACAATTTAAGCAATCGTCTCAGGACCTGAAAAAATCAGGTGACTCAACAGGATTCGAACCCATGACCTCGTGCCGGTGCAGTGCTCTGACCACTGAGCTATGCCGTTCGAATCCCGTTGATCTGTTTTTAATCATCAGACAATTGCTGTCCAATAAGAAATGCGAATCATCTCATTTAATTCAAACACCACACTACATAATATTATAAGTTTACAGATTGTGTAAAGAAATAGAGAGGAGCAGATTTATTCACGAAATTCATCGCATTTGAAGACATTAAACAAACTTTTTGAAGAAGATTTCAAATCACCTCCAGCGCCTAATTTAAAACTTGACGAAACACAACAAAGTAACCATACACCGTTTACGTGATGATGAATCAAAACATATGAGGCGCCAAATTGGACTGCATTCTAAACTTATAATACAACATAACTTACTAAAATTATACATGGCAAACTTTATATACTTCGAGATAAATCAAAAAATATGACCGAAACGTGATGTAGGAGATTCTAAACTTTTCATATACGTTCGAAACTTATCGTATCGTATCGTCAAAATTTAAAGCCTATTCCGAAGTTTCACGCGGTGTTCAAATCTTTTTTATAACATGAGAATCGTCGTATTTTTTATATCGTCTGTGAGTAATTTTCATATGGGTATGGTGAAATTTTTACATCGTGTTGCATAATGCTTTGCGATCCCACTCTGGATATTATATGAATTTAATTTTAGGACTAGCAGCCGCATATGTTAGTGCCCAGGTCCCAAGTTTTAGAGAAGTGTATTTTTTTTTATTATGACGTTGCCATATTGACAATATGTTTCCATTCGATATCGTGCTTTCTCGAATTTAAACGTAATAATTCAATCAAAATAAACTCT